TGCTATTCTTACGGATACTTCTTTCTCCAGTGAGACCGTACCAAAGATGGACAAAATGGGAGAACTGACCAGTTCAGCGTTTGGGCAGTGTCTCACATTATCTCCACAAATACTTGTTATCTGTGAAACTGATAGTGTATTCCAGAGCACAGGAAGGTGAGGTCCCAGGCCAGTTATGTTAAATAATGGGGTTGCCAACTAAAAGCGACCAGGAATGGACTTCATGGCTACTGAATCTGGCCTTATCCTGTGTCTTCTTCGATAAACATCTCTAGTCTTACAACTGTCTTTCTCCTTTGGTTATTTTCAGCACCTTATAATTCAAATCTGAGCTCTATACAGCTTGTTGTCAGACCAATACACAGCATCAATCAGGCAGAACAGCTTTTGAATAAACAACTGGTATGTCTGCCTTCTAAGACCCAGTACAGGAAAATTCAGGGCTCATTACCAAATTGGTTTTAGAGTGATAATTTCTCAGCCACAATTAACACTCAAAGACAATTCACTAAGTTAGAAAGGATTTATAATCTATGTAGAAAGAGTAGCCATACCAATAAAATTATAGATCCCAGAAATATTAAAGTATATTAATGAGCAGCTGATCAAAAACAGAGCATCCAAGTTTCAAAAGTAGAATGGGCTGCTTTGGGAGGTAGTGAAATTCCTGTAAGTTTTGCTTTCAAGCAAAAGCTGGATACCCACTAATCAGGGATGTTGTAAAGAGTTCTAGTCAGGCGTAGTTAAGGTTCAATGATTCTGAAAGGTCACTCTGAAACCTTAAGATTCTGTGAAGTTACGTGTTGACTTTTTTTGGGGGGGGGTAGGCATTGGGGTTAAGTGACTTGCCCAGGGTCACACAGCTAGTTAAGTGTTATGTGTCTAAACTCAGGTCCTCCTGAAGCCAGGGCCAGTGCTCTATCCACTGCACCACCTAGCTGCCCCTTGACTCTTCTTTGAAAACACTTTAAAACCCTATCTAACTTTATGAATACATTTAGCTAAGAAGTTTTGTCATCAAAGAATAATACAAACCAAATACTCATAAAGAGGAAGAAAAAGAAGAAATAAATTCATAGTGACACAAAGTTCTAATCAAGGAACAAAATTTTCTTATTTAGTTTGTACAAAGTGAAAAAATTCAGACTAAATATTTTCATTTTTTAAAACCCATTTTTAAGAACAAATTTTCTTAAGCAGTCATTCAAGTCATATAATAATAACATGAGGTTTTTTTTTTTAAGGTTGGAAATAAATTGATTTGTAATATAAAATGACCTCTGCTTTGCAAATTAAGGCAAACTATCAGATCTTTCAGAGAATCAAAGATGGAAAGGATCTCTGAGTTCATTTACAATATCTCTGAAGAATAGTCATCCCAGACTGCTCTTGAAGGCCTCCATCAAGGAAGATGTCATTACTTCCTGAAAAATTCACTTTTAGAAACTGATTGTTAGGAAATTTTTCTCTATATCAAACTAAAATCAGTCACTTTTTCTCCAAATCCTCTCGTCTAGAGACAAATAATAATAATAACAACAACAATAATGATGACAATAATAACAAAGACAGGCCGGCAATGGAATAGGGACACAAAAACACAGCATGGTACTTCAAGAATAATGTCAAACACAAAAGCTTCTCAGAATGTGCTACGGTCAACAAGAAAAACTCATCCAAAAGGGGGGTTAAGAAAAGAATCAAATGGGGCAGCTAGGAGGCACAGTAGACAGAACTCTTTGGCCCTGAAGTCAGGAGGACCTGAGTTCAAATTTGGCCTCAGACCAAACACTTGACATTTACTAGCTGTGTGACCCTGGGCAACTCACTTAACTCCAGTTGCCTAAAAAACAAACAAACAAAAAAGAAGATCAAAGGATAGGGCCACTGTTTGGGATAAATGGAATAAGATAATAAGACCCCACCATCCTTCCAGTGACCCAAATTCACCACTAGCCTGAGGGAAAAAACTGACAAAAGAGGCACTCTTCCCCCTCACCTTCCTTTCTCTACTACTCCTAAAGAATGAATTAACCCTTTCTGCAGAAGAGTTACTTTTCATGAAAGATGAAATAAGATCAAGCACTTTATGGTTTATATGGCCAGCTATTTTTATATGTAATAAACAGTATCCAAAGAGCCAATATAGATAAGAGAATAGAAAGGACAAATTAAGACTACAGCTGAGTCAGCAAACAGTATATCTTACTCTAGGACCTTTCCCCTTCAGTGGAGACAAAGGCTGAAAAATCCACTGTGATACCTAAACCCTCACCTCCACTCTTCCCACCCCCCCCAAAAAAAAGCACCGCTGGCCTTCTCACATGTTTGGAATACATGGGTTCCTAACCTCCACCTCCTTCTTTAAGATTCAGCTTAAGCACCACCTTATTTTGCATGAAGTGAAACTTTTCTAGAACCTCTCCCACCTCCAAAAGCTACTGCCCTGCCTTCCGTACTACCTTGTATTCAGCTACCTGTATTAACTTTATATTTCTACTGTACATATTTATATATGTACCTGTCTCTCTCCATTAGAATGTAAGCTTCTTGCAAGTGGGGACTACTTCATTCTTTGTACTTTTGTCCCCAACACCTAGTATAGTGCCTGAACTATAGGTTCAATAAGTGTTGATTAACTGAAAGTATCTCTAGTATATAAGATTCGGTTTAACCTCTGCCTCCTAGTTCCAGACACAGTATGAGTCACTTGAGAGGAAGGACTGTCTCATTTTTTTTTCCCATTAACATATTCAGCCTTTAGCTGGGTACCTATGTGACTAGTATCAAGGAAAAGTGGCTAATGTTGGTAGTGGTAGGAGACTACAGAAGTTGGTTTTAGAGGCCCAAAGAGACATTCCTATTACCTGGTCACTTGGGATCTGGGCAGGCCATAAAAACAGAACAAATCATAGAGTTAGAGCTGGAAAAGGCTCTTAGGTGATGGAGATACAGGGAACCAGTGGCAGTTTCCCAGGAAGCAGATTTGGTAGAACCATACTCTTTCCTACACTTCTATATAAAATAGCAGAAAATAAAAGGCATTGTGGTATAATATTAAAAATAGCACATGGACTGCAGACAAAGTTGATTTAGATTCTAGTCCTAGCCTGTCACTTACTAGCAAAGGACTAGACATAATTTGGGCAAGCCATTTAACTCTTGGGTCTCAGGGACTTGTCTATCTCATAAGAGTTTTTTGAGGATAAAAGATCATAATGAATGGGAAAGCACTTGAAAAAATGCCCAATGGAAATAAGTTTGAATAATGCTTACACTTAGATCTCTCCCTAATACCTATACCCTTATCAACCAAGAAACTCTGTCATAACTCAATCACAGTACCCCTATTGCCTGTAACGTCTTCATAAGTTACCAATTGTCTAAACCTCTACTTAAGTAATACAATATTTAAGTATGAGTTGAAAGGGAAAATTAGAAAACCAATGCCAAACACACCCCTTCACATATACAGAAGCCCTTTACCGGGAAAAAAAAACTATAAAGACATTCTTACTGGATTTACAAACTCATAAATAAAACCCTTTATGAATGGTAACATTTTAGAATTTTTTTCAGCTATTTACAATTTAATTAACAGTCAATCAATAAATATTTATAAGCATCTACTATGTGCCAGTAACTTCGCTAAACAGCAGGGATACAAAGAAACTTAAAAGAAAGGCCCTGCTCTCAAAGAGCTCACAGGCTCACAGGGAGACAATATGCAAACTACGTACAAACAAGCTACATGCAGGATAAATTGGAAAACTGAATTGCCATACTATGAAAGCTGAATCCTGACAAAATTTACAGAAGCATCTGAAGAAACAATTCTAATTACCAGTATGAATGTATTCAGCAGTTTTAATACTACAAGATAAATATCTAAATGTTATTCCAATAATGTCAGCTGTGCAATCAAAACATCAAACTGCCAAAAACAGAGCCAGCAGAGTCTCTCAGAAAAGAAATAGATTTTCTCTGGCAAAATGGGTCAACTTAGTAACTAAACTCATATGGCTTAGATAAGGAAAATGTCAGGGTGCTCAAGGAAGCAATGAAAAGATCACCTTGTAACAACTCTCATTTAAATTTGTAACTTATCAACTAATACTAGACATCTTCAAGGAAAAGGCCGGACCACTAGCATCAGGGATGCTGTAGAGAAGGCTTATATTCAGGCAAAGATTGAACTAGATGTCTCGTGAGGCTGTTATGGTATAATGTTCTTCTCAAACTATATTGCTGCCAGGAGGACTAACCAAGAAAAGGTCAAGCCAAAACTGGCTTTTGGAAAAACACTACCTCCTGGATCTACCTCAAGACAACAGGGAGTAGTAACACAAGGAAAGATGAAAATTACTTTCAAATCATCCTGATAACTTCTTGGCCACCCCCTATCCTTCAAGGGTCCAAAAGTCTGATGTTCTTGTAACTCTGTATTTTACCTACATCGATTCTAGAGCACTGACCCCAATTTAGCACCTACCAAAAGTCTATACTTTAGCATCATGTATGGTCACAAAGCATGTGGTTGTGCAACAGACATTACTGCCCAACAGCTTCACCTCATTAATGAATTCTAGTTTTTTACATTTTCTGGCTACGATCTTCAACTACTAAGCTGAATTAAATGAAAGTCTGTGGAGAAATGTTTACTCTCAGAGATTTTCTTTTAACTACAAATTATCACTTAGATACAATTCCTTGCTTTTCTACTAAAAGCAGTACCTACTTAAAAAATTATGCACTAAAACCAAACAGGTACATATCCAAATTATATTAAGTCATCTGCCTTAATATACCACAACATTCATGACATTAAAAAAAAGAGAAAATCTCCTAGAATAGAAAATATATACTAAATAGTATTGTATAAATTTTGAGTAACTAAATTGTATTCCCAAATTTTTAAACTATTTAAGGCACAATGTGTAAACAAATTTGAACTATATAAAGAAATACAAAATACAAAAATAATCTTTTGCTTTACTTACAAGAAAATTGATTCTTAAGCTTTATCTCAATAGGATGGCTGATATATAGATGAAATGACCAAATAGAAACACTCAAATTTCTCCAGAAGAGCATATGGCCATGCTTAACCAGTGACGATTTCTACTTTCTGTAATGCTTCCTCATCACGTCTACTGTACATCATTTAGCTGTATAAGTCTCCTTTTCAAGGACACAGAGGATTTCTAAGCTCATGAAGGGCCCATCCTAAATATGAACCTATTTTATTAGCAGTCAAGCTTACAATACTTAGAATATTTAAGGGGGGATTTACACAGCTAGAACTAGAATCAGCCTTTCAGCGTTCTGATTGCTAAGCCAAAAACAAAGAAAAACAGAACATTTTTCAGTGTGAATTAGGTAATTCAGAATGAGCTATACATGTTTTAAATATAAACTCTCCTGCAGTAATAAGTTAATGAATATGATAAACTGAATATCCTATTTAGATATGCTATACCAAATTGAAATTTGGATTAGAATACAACAAAATATGGAATACAAACTATACTGAACATAATTGAATCTTTAATGATTCAGATAGCACTTATAATGTAGTGCTTCAGTGATTATTATAAACATCTGCAAAGTTTCTTGATTATACAGCACTATTTAGCTGATCAGATTCTTCACAAGAGTTTACTGTACTTCATTGCCTACCACACTATATTTCCTATATTCTCACCAATATTTCTCTATAAATCCAAAGTTGATTACTAATTTTAGTAAAAATCCACAGAATTTGTCCAGATGTTAATTCAACAATTTACTCTCTGCAAGTTTTAGGCCCTTTATGCAAAAAAACTACATTATTAACATTGTGTATATTTTTCAGTCCTACTCAAACAAACATTTATTGAGCATCACCACAAGCAAAGTACAATGGGGGATGAATATAACAGTTTCTGTCCTCACATTCAAATGTGTAAGTTTCCCTATAAACTCTTAATACAGAAATAAATTTTTCAGTTGTGCAAAAAGTGTTTTTCAAGGGTTGCCATACAGTCATATCCAAAGACCCTTACATCAATCTCAAAACAGACTTAATTTCCAAAGCAACATATCTACTTATATACATACACAAAACAAATGTTTTAGAGTGGTTGCTTATAAGTCAGGAAGGAACCACGGCCTCATGTGAGTTTATGGAGGAAATTCAGAAAAATAGCATTCCACGATGCGACCATAACTATTAGGATTTATAGCAAACATTTGATGTGCTGATGACAAAATGCTCAGTCTGTGTGTCTCTATATAGTAACACACAAATTCCAGATACACACATGCACACAATTAAATGGTCTCACATAGCATTATGTTGCTCTAAATGTTTAATAATTTAAGTTTAGGGTGTTACCCATAGTGTAATGCAGGTGAATGTAAACAGCATCTGGGATCCCAAGCTACTATAAATTCCTGCACTAAAAAAAAGCAGGTAAAAAGCACAACTGTGAAATTCCAGGAGAAGTAGCATAGATAAACCATGTAAAACAATTTAGTATCACCTGGTTAAGGTAGACAACATTTTGCAAATAAGCCAGGGTCATACTTTTGTAATGCTCTCAGCAAAGAGTCCCTATCCCAAATCATTGTGTCCTAAAGTGTGAACTGCTCAAAAAAAGGGTGATATTTCTACCAGGGAAAAGATACACATTTTAGTTCAAATCAGTATTTAATATTCTTGGATTAACATTTGTTTCTCTCCTGTTTAAGTAACATTTTGAAAACTTGATTCATCTCAGCCTCTGTTGTCCATCATTGTCATCATTTCAAGTTTCCTGGATTTTTTTTTCCTCAACTCAAACTACGAAATAAACGCTGCATATTGCCACCATTTTGGAGAAAATACAGACTTGAGTTTGGGGTCATTTATTTCAACTTATTTATCTGGGCTGCTTTGGTTTTCCTAAGAACTAGTACTAACACTAATCCATACCAAAAGAAACTTCCGATTTATTGACTTCCCCCCCCTTCGGAAAATGGGTTCTTACATAGGTGCTTAATTTGTGCATAACCAAATCCATTCGAGCTACCTTCTATCCATTCAAAACAAACATTTCATTGAGCCGCTTAAACGGATGTAAGTTGCATTCTAAGAAAACAATCGGCTAAGAGTATCACTTGAAATGCTAGGTCAATGCCCCATTTCTTGAAAAGAGCTGTGTCTTCAAGAATGTATAGGCACTTAGTAGCACTAATTGGAAGACATTGACATGCCACACACCCTACACTAATATGAGGAAGGGGCTGAAGTTCAGAGTTTGGGGAGGTGAGAGGGAAAAGCAGCCCCCCTCCCCCCCAAAAAAATGCCAGCCCCCGATTTGCAGGGCTCGGGAAGGCAGAGGCTTCCAGGCTGGCGCTGGGAGCATCCCGGCGGTCACGCCCCTCGCAGCCTGGCAGGTTTCACACTTATCTAACTCGCCCGGGAGGGGCAGGGGGCACCTGACCGCGACGCGCCAGCGGCCCCGGGGGATGCGCGAAGCGGGCGCAGGGGCGGCACACAAGCAGCTGACCAAGGCGGGGTGACGAGGCGGTGCCCGAGAGGCGGGGGACGCGGAGCCCCGACCCTCGGCTCCGGCCCCTTACCTTGGGCTATGGCAATGGACTCGAAGCGGTGCAGCTCCTTCAGCAGGCAGCTCCTCTCGGTGGAGTGCAGGCTGTAGATGAAGTCGCGGGCTCCCTGCGCCGTGTTCAGCGCCTCCATGGGCTCGCGCTTGGGGTGGGTGCCCAGCCCCCGGGAGGGGCGCGGCGCGGCGGCCGAGGCGGCGGCCAAAGCGGCCGAGGCGGAAGGCGGCCGGAGGAGCAGCGCCGGAGCCCCCGCCGCACCACGCGGGCGGCAGCCGGGCAGGGGCCGCAGGCTGTGCGCAGTCCGGCTCCTCAGCAGGGGCAGCAGCAGCCGGGACATGCTGGGGGATGGGAGGGGGTCAGGAGGGAGGCAGAGGGAGGGAGCCGCGGGGGAGGGACTCCGACCCGGGCTCAGCCCGACCCCGCCCCGATGCCCCCCTGACAGGCGGCCGGGGCGCCGGGCACCATTCACTCCCCGGGACCAGCGGGCGGCGGCTGCCGACTCGAGTGCCCCGCGGCTCCTCCTCCGGGCACAACTTTGTCTGCGGGCGGGCGCAGCGGCGAGCAGACCCTGCCGGAGCCGGGGCGCTCGCGGGCTGAGCCGGAGCCGGGCGGGCTCGGTGTGTATATTTGTGTGTGTGGGTCTGTCTCCTCTGCCGCTGGGAGGGATGAGTCAGCCGCACACCGCCCTCCCGCCGCCTCGGCTCCTCCTCCTCGTCCTCCCAGACTTCAGCGTTCAGTCAACGCGGCTCCACGTCTTCAAGGGACCCGCGCCGACTGAACCGGGCCGCCACCGCCGCCGCCCTCCGAGGCCGCTTTGGGATGGTGGAGTAGAGAGGCGGGCAGCGGAGGAGGGCGTTACCGCGCAGGCGCCCTGCCGCCGCTCAAGTCCAATCCCCTCCGGGCCTCGCTCGCCCTCTTCTGTCGTCGCGCACGCTCCTTGCCTCTCTCCCTCTTTCTCGCCCCCCCCACCGAGGGGCGCGCGAGCGCGGCCCAGGCAGAGGGGCCCGAGGCGCCTATAGGGCCCCCGGGAACTCAGGGAGACCGGGCTACGGAAGGACGCCCTCCCCCGCCTGAAGCGGCTGGAATGGGGAGAAAGGGCTTCGGGCCTTTTGCCCGGCCCGCCCCGGAGCAGCTGCCCTAGGTGCGCGGAGTGGGGGGAGGGGGGATACCTAAAAATGGGGATCGTCCTGAAATGCCCCGGCCCGCGCGCGGCCTTGTCACCGCGGGGTCGGGCTGGACAAGCGCTGTCCCAGGTGATCATGGCTTTGCACCGCAGCTGTAGCCCCGGACAGGCCTCCGGTGCCTCAGCAACCCCATCCTGGACACCCACCCCTGCTTGGCAGCCCGGTCCATTGCAAAGTCAGCAAGGCGAGGCTGGGCAGGTCTAACCACTCCCTGGCACCCGGGATGCTTCCAAAAGAGGGCGAGGCACAGCCCACACCACATTCTCACCCTGCTTTCCTGGAGGAATGTTTGGGAGCAGGAATCCTCATTCAGTTCCCCAAAGTATACAGACAGCTGCAGGACACATGATGGGCCCACAAACGAGCAAATTCTTACAAACAGGCTTTTTCTTTCTATGGCTGGTAATTGGCTTTCTGCTTTATGACCCTAACTTTCCAAAGTTAAGGAAACAGGGAAATATATGTTTTCTAATACTTCCCTGAAGGTTGTTCATAGGTCGGAGGTCAGGACAAGCTTTGAAGGTTCCTCTGTCCAAAAATATCACCTCTGAAATTCCACTGTTGAAGATAGATTGCTTTGCCTTAACAATCTGGGTATAAAATTTCTTATACCCCTGGGAGGGTTAAGACATTTGAACTTTAATGTGACTTAATTTCTTCAGGAGATGTATAGTGGGAATGGCAATGTTGGGGAGGGGGTAGAGACGGGAGGAGAGGATAATTTGGGAGAAGGAAATAGGCTTAAGGGGGAACTAGTAAGAGCTCTGGGCAAAGATCTCAGACAGGTCACTTCACTTCCCTGGCCTTCAGTTTCTTCATTTGTGAAAGGAGAGGATTGGACAACGTGGTGTCTGAGGACCTTTCTAGCTCCAGATTTATAATCCTACAAGTGAGCAGCCTGAAGGTCCTAGGATTGAAGGGGAAAGACAGAACTAGGAGAAGGGGAAGGCATGCAGAAAGAGAGTTTTGGATGGGCTCTAAACAAAAATGTCTACCCTGCAGTTTTGCCTAGGTTGGACTCTGACTGCCTTACCTGTTTAAAGTCATGCCTCTGATAATGATCACCCTCATCCTGGATATGTGAGTGAAAAGCCTAGTACTCAACTGTCATTCCTTTTTAAGCTGTTTATCAGTCCTGGCCAAAATCCAGGGCTATTGACTTTTATTGCAGCCTCATTCTTGATAACTCTGCACCAACTTATCGTTTTCCATTTAAGCTTTTACAATTTTGCTTCCCAGAGTTCTTATGTTTGCAGTTGTGTCGTTGAATCTTTTATATGCTAGCCATTTTAATATTGGCCTTTACTTATACTTAGGGTCAACATAGCAAAATGGATACAATCCATGCTAGACTTGGATTCCAATCTGTTGTCTCTGGCACAGCTAATTGTGTGACCTTGTGCTAGTCTAGTAGGGAGGTTAAGTAAACCTCTTTGAGCTCCAGTTTCCTCACCTTTGTTGGGATGGAGGGAGTGGCAGTTACAATGCCAGTAGTACTTACTGGGTCTTTGTAAGACTGAACTGAGATACTTCCCAAACTTTCAGATACTCCAGAAATAGCCATCTTAGTATACTAGGGCTCACATCTCTCAGCCAGAGTCTAGGGCAAACATCTTACCCCATGGGAAATGCCCCCTTCCTACAAAGGCCATAATACCTTTGAATCTCATTCTCTTAATTTAGGACTCAAGGAGAGAGTTCATCAGATGGTTCAGAGCTCCCCATTACAAAGACGAAACAAAACAAAACACCCTGACAACTCCATAGCACTTGAAGGTTTGGAAAGCACTTTCTTACCTCATTTGATTTTCACAACAACCCTATGAGATAGGTACTAGAGGTATTATTAGCATTCCTATTTTATAGCTGAGGAAACAGGCTCAAAGAGGTTGGGTGACTTTCCCATGGTCTCAGTGTCAGAGGCAGGATTTGAACCCAAGTTTTTCCTAAGGCTAATAAGTCCGGGCCTTTTTTAATAAGGAGAAAGGAACAAACATTTATTAAATACCTACTGTGTGCCAAGTTATCTCATTTTATCCTTACAACAGCTCTGAGAAGTAGATGCTATTATAATCCCCATTTTATAGTTGACGAAAGTGAGGCAGACAGGTTAAGTGACTTGCCCAGCTGTAAGTGACTTACAGCCGGTGAATATTTGTGGCCAAATCTGAACTCAGGTCTTTTCTCCTGATTCCATACCCAGCACTCTATCTACTATACTACCTAGATGCTGGATTTTTTGGGGCGATAAGTAAGGACAAATGTAAATAACTCATATTCCTATAGCGCTTTACAGTTTGCAATGCACTTCAATCACAAGAATTCAATTCAGGCATAATTTTAAGCACCTACTATGTGCCAGTCCCTATACTAGGTACTGGAGAGCCAAACTAAATATTGAAACAGTACTTGCCCTCAGAGAATTTGCATTCTAATCCAGGAGGGGAGCGCTTAGAACTCTGGGGAATCAGGAAAGGTATGTTTAGTAGATAGTCCAAGGATTAAACATCCAAATGGGCCTACAATCTCATTAGTTTGGAGTGAAACCAGTCCATGTCTATCAATCTAGTGTGAGTCCTCCATATGCATCAGTCCACCAGAGAATGTCCATCTAACATTCTGGAGGCCTTCCTCACTTTCTCCTTACATTGTAAGGATTCCAATGGAGCCCTTTCTCTGTCTATCATCCCTTATCTTCCTCTTAGCTTAGCCATCTTCTCTTCTGATCGTAGTTTCTTTTCTTTTTCAATATATTTTATTTCATTAAATATTTCCCAGTTACATATGAAAAATTTTAACATTGATTTTAAAAATTTTGAGTTCCAAATTCTCTCCCTCCTTTCACCCCACCCTTCCCTGCTCTGTGAGAAAGCAAGCAACTAGATAATGATTATACATGTGAAGTCACAAAAAACATATTTCCATATTAGCCAGATCATATAGTTATTTCCTCTACCAGGGCTCCATCTCTACCAGTGCTTATCTTATGATAGTTGGTTAGTGCTTGTAACTGGCTGCTGAGAAAGATAGCCCCCTCTAAACAATGATTCCTCCCCCTTAAGGATGACTCCAGGGGCTGGGCTAAAATCAGGTCTAGTGGTTGGTATACTGCTGTGCCCAAACCTCTTGGGTTCATGTCTTAAGTTGTCTAAATCAAGGTCCAAATTGAAATGGTGGTCAAGGTGATGGTAGTGGTTTGGCTTGACTGGCACATGCTGCCTTGTGTCACTCCCTCAGGGTACCCCACTATGTCAGCTAGGCCAGCTTGCTCTATAGGAAGGGGTAGTATATTCTGGGAAAGACATTCTTTGTCCATTTTTTTCCCTGTGTGGATGGTCAAACCAAATTCTATTGAGTGGTTACAGATCTGTTCCGGAAGCCTCTGAAGTGTTCCTGGGATTGATGCAGTCAGCACACTGTCATCTATAAACAAAGCATGTGTAGGGCCTCATCATTCATTACAGTGGAGAACATCTTTGGGGAGCATCCATTTCCTTGTTTTATGCATCACCTGATATTTCTGATTGGAGATTTGTCAAACAAGGTTATTTCTGTTGTTATATCTTTCGAGAAATCTTGAATGATTTTCTTAGATGGGTAAGAGATGCCTCATTAAAAAAAGGGGGGGGGAGATAGGTGGTCAAGTAGATAGAGCACCAGCCCTGGAGTCAGGAAGACCAGAGTTCAAATCCAGCCTTAGACACTAGACAGTTCCTAGCTGTGTGACCCTGGGCAAGTCACTTAACCCTAATTGCCTCACCCAAAAAAAAGCCTATAAAGTGATGTTTCACTTT